CAATGTGGGCTAGACGGATGCGGAAATGGTCGATCTGTGAAAAATATTAAACTCATTTATGGCACCTTTAAATTTGTTTTTAAGTATGCAAAGTACACATATACGCTTATGCAAATATGTTGGCGGGAGTGTACATGTGTATGGGTGTGTAAACAGACTTGTAATAAATTTTATGTTATGCAAATAAATTTGATTATACAAGAACATGAAATAAATTTTCAATTTCATTTAAACAATAATCCCAGCTTGAATATCTTCTGCAGTTTGTCACAAACCGTCGACAACATTCCATGGATTGGATGACTGCTGTTCTGTTCGCGGTTTGGATTTTGCATTGATTTACGTATTTTTGTTCGCCCGTTGTCAAATAGAAAAAAAATAGGAAAATGTAAAATAAATCCGGTGAAGCATTTTTACACCAAAATTTTTTTAGTTATTCATCGATGCATGTAATTTTATATAATTTAACATATAATATAGTGATGACAGGATATGGAGATACACTGTGGTATATTCATCCATTCAACACGAATTTATATGCTAATAAATATCCATAGTTTTAATTTTAAATAATAACTGAATTCTGTTTAGGTATTCTTTCATTATTTGAATTAGCATAGGAAATATGCAGGTTGAGGTTTTAATTACAACACATTAACCCTCTAGTAACCAATTTATTTATTTTTTGTTTAAAAAAATAATGCAATTAAAATCGTAGCAAATAATTTTTTTCTTGTTTAAGAAAAAAATTGTATAAATTATTATTATTACTAATTAATAGGCTATGAATGCACCCCGACCTAAAAGATCCATTGTGCATCTAGAGACCCAACTAAAACAATTCTAGAGTATTTATAAATCTTGTAATTGCTGTGGGCTTAATTTTACCTATTTCATTTGGGACTAAGATCCCGCTTCCAAGATAGTCGGGTCTACGTCTTGCCACCGCTGAGCAATTGCATAGGATATATTCTGATGTTTTCTTCTCCTTATGACAGAGTCGACAGGAATCACTTTCTACCGCAAATATAATCTTCATATAGTAACTAAGTCTACAGTGTCCAGCAAGAAGTTTAGTGTAAACTTAGATATCGTTTCTGCTAAGGTTAAGGACTGTGTCAACGTTAATGCATACAGAATTAGAATCTTCTTGACTTTCGCATGCTTGTTTGAGCTCTCCAGTGTTCTAGTAGATTTTGTTGCATCCGTTCACATAATAAGTTATTTGTGAAGCTATTTATTACCCCCGCAGAAGGGCGTTGGATAAATGAAAGAAGTACATGTACCCTTCTTAGCTAGAAAGTCTGCTATTTCATTGCCATCATGCCTTTCATGTTCCGGTACCCACATATTATTATATGTAAATAAAATAAAAAATTGGGTTCTTTTTATATTTTTGTTTTAAAATAAAAATAAAAACAAACATAAATAATAATTTATTATTTTTTCATTTTCTTCTTAAGAAATAGCAATTTTTAAAAAAGTGAACTCATAACTACTCTAAAGTTTATTAAATTAACTAATATATAACTAAAGTTTGCGAGTTTCACAAAATATTAAGTCACTTATGATGTGATTATAATGATAACAGTTCAATTGTAAGCTTAAGGCATTCTTGGAAACCGAAGAGTTTGAGTAGTTAACGAAAGAAATTGGTTTCAGTATATATGCAAGTCCTTGCTATCTTTCTGGGATAAGGTTCGCCACACCAATTAAAATTTCTTTTGGAACTTGTTAATAATAGATTTTAATTAGATTTTTATTTTATTTTTTTTTTATCAAATATTAAATCAAATTAAATATTTTCTATCAAATTTATTTAGCACATCATGCATAAGTTCTTACCGGTTTAATTAAGAGATGGCGCAAGCGAACAGTACACAACATATTATTTTAGCACATACGTCATATATTGTTCATCGGAAAATTCAACTAAAAACACACTTAAGTTGAGTAGGTCGAAAAGTAACATCTTTGTTGAATTGTTTAGTGTTTAAATGTTGAATTTTGTTCCAGAAAAAGAACATTTGCTAGATGCTTTGCTTTTCTTACTTAATAGAAGAAAAAGGTAGTTAAAAATCATCATAAGTCGAACACGTTTTAACGTTTAGAACTGGTAAGGCATGGATTCAACCATGCTTTATCAGTTGTGATTTTATGTGATAGAGAGTGAGCGCTATGGTAGACTCCAAAAGTGCGAAGACTATGTGATATCTTACAAGTTATTCGATTATAATCCAACTTGCAGTTTCAAACAATTAATTACAAATCATTAAATATAATATATGTTTATATATATAAATAACTCCAAGACCACTGATGATGGGTATTTGACAATACTCGAAACAGCTGTATGATCAGCCAAAAATTTTATGAATTAAAGAAATAATAAAAAGAATTTTTGTTGTTGTAGTTCATTACTTTTCGAAATCTCTTTATGATAATCCAACTCAAACTCAACTACAATTTGCAGAAGTATTAAATGTGTCACCAAAAATAATGAGCAGATGTTTACGGGCAATAGAGAACATCAATAAACTGGATGAATAATTACCAAACGATTTAAATTAACGCAAATGGAAAATCGCTGAGTCGCTTGTGAAAGGCTCCTTCGAGGATGCAAAAAAATATTTTATGTATGGAATTGTGATGGGTGACGAAAAAATCAAATTTTTTTTAAAACCCAAAGCAGAAAATATTCTTTTTCTTACCTGACGAAGCCGGTGTGTGAGAACACGGCAAAACCATTTAAAATCGCTTAGATGGAATATTCTTTCACACTCGCCGTAGTTTCCCGACCAGATAGCGTCTGACTATCATCTCATTGCATGAATGCAACATTTCATAATATTTATAAATTACCTGAAAGATGCGCGTAATGTTTAGAAGTCGATGATCTAAAAAGTAATTCCCTTAAAATTCACATGGTGTACCAAAAATGGACTTATACATACACCTGATACGATAACCGTGAACACAAAAAATCATAGCTTCAGGAGAACCATCCATATTAAGAGTAAATTAGAAGTAAGGTTATATTATGCATTTGATGGGATTAGAAAGGAGTCGTGTACTATGAGCTACTAATACCTAAGGAAACTGTTACTGTTGAACGTTATCAACTACCATTGATAGTCAACAAACAATATAAAGTGCTATTGTTGCACTATAATACTCGACTATATGTCACAAGTCAAGTAAAATGAACGTTAAGTGCTACTTAAATATGAAATTTTTAATAAATTAATCATTTTTTTCAAATAAATTGTTTATTTGCAATTTAATTTGGAAATTTAAAATTTTTCAGACAAATAATTTTCAAAAAATATTCAGTAATATATATTAAATATATTTTCATAAATGCGGATCTTAGTTTTAGTGGCAAAAATCGTTTTTGTCAAACTATTGCTTTACAGAAGTTATATATCCTATGATATTGGACACATTAATAATTTTCTTCTACTTAAATGTTTTTCTTTTATTTTCGAAAATGGAAGAAAATATATTAAAAAATACGGTACTTTGCAGTTCATATTTTTTGTAAAAAATGTATTTATAATTCTCATTTCATTTGTTGTAATTTTATCGCACACGTAATACACTTGTTTAAAATTCTTATTATGTTTACGTCAAAGAGTCTATTTAAGTATACTTTTCATATCGCATAAGTCGTTAATAACATTGATATAGCATTTCTTTTGCTGCATTATCCATTTCCTTTTTCAAAGTGAGCTGTTTATTGTATGAATTTATATGGATATGTCTAAAGTATTTGAGTTTTTAAATCAATTTATATTTCTGCAGAAAATATTTATTGTACGTCATGGCGTAGATGAGTCTACACATATATAAATATCAATAAATACTTGTAACAAGAATATCTAATGGATGTCATATTGTCTTATAAGTGACTTTCTTCTTTCTTATTTATTGTTACATTTTGGGAAGAATTTATTTCTACAGACTAGTATAAATGCAATCTAAAATTTTTTATTTAATTAGACATCCTAATTACCTGTCACTTAACAACATTAATCAATAATTATGATAACTGAACCATACTCACTAAGAGTAAATGGAAGGTGAAAGAAATACACCAGAAATTATATTCCTACGCTTCTTGGAAGAAAGCTTCGTTCTCATCCTCTAAACTGTTATGCTGTGGTATATGAAAAGATAATGAATGTCTGTATTTTAAATTATTTCACTTATATATACAGATTATATCGTGGGTGAGCATTACAAACTGGATAGCAGAAACAACAAAGCGTGTGGAAAGAATTATTAAGAAAACACCAAAAAAACATTGGATGTCTGATGAAATGCTCAAACTTATTGAAGAACATAGACGCATCAGATATACTAATGGAGAAGATTACACAGATACAATTGCTGCTTTCAGTAAAAATAATTTATTTAAAAATATCTGTTGAAATATGCAACAACATGCAATTAAGCAGGAATCATACGAGCTTTACAAAAGTGTAAAATACGGTTTTAGGTTTTATTGAATTAAAACCTTATTCACAAGTTTATTTTATTTACTTTCGGAGCATTAAAATGGATAATAGCGCAGGTAGAAAAAAAAAGCACAGATTCTGTCATCTATTCAGAATCTACCTGGCAACGACCCATACTTTTTCTTAAATTATTAAACAAAGCATCGTATTTGATTTGTCACAGGACTTCCGACATAATTATTAATAAATTAACTAATATTTGCAACATAGATGTATAGATATCATCTCAAATAATATAAATATAAATACAAAAACTCTAAATCATAAAAGATGCTTATTACCAAGTTGATTTCTCAAAGGGTTCCAGACGTTTCGGTCTATGAAAAGACCGAAATATGTAAGAAATGGCTTACTTACATTTCTCACATATTCTATTTTTATTTAAATCACAGTTGCATTGAAATTTTTATTAATAGAATTAGAGTAGAGTAGACTAAATTCAAAAATTTTTATTATTAAAATATATTTTCTATTGGTAACTTCAGATTTAAAAAATTCGTCAAAATTATCTGTAAAATGAGTCAAAATCGTTTTGCTAATTTCTTGAAATTTTTCAAAAAAAACAATCCAAAACTAACTCCACTTGAACTTATTAAAAGTGGAGGAGAGATGTGGGTTAATCTAAAGGATATCGAGAAAGAAAAATTCTCTCCATGTAAGCCTGAGATTAATATTAGTGATGATTCGTTAGATGTTTTCTTTCCCGTTGAAAAAAATCTAACGAAAATTGGCAAAAAACGGAAAGCCGCTAAAAGGAAGGGAGCGGTAAACAGGCGTCGCGCTAAGAAAAAGAAACTAGACCGTCGTGGACAAAAAAAGAACCGTGCAAAAAAACGCCCGAAAAAACGTGGAAAGAAGCGTTGAGGTCCATAACCCGTCGATGGTGAGACATGACTATATATATTGAATTGATATATTGATAATTTTTTTTTTTTGAATAAAAAAATATTCTCTTGTTTGACAGCAACAAATATCATTTTCTTGATGAAATGATGATGTTTTTTTGATGATGTTTTAATGGTTTTATGGTGTGATGGCCTATGGTTTAACGATGTTAGTATACAACTTGTTCACAAGTTGTACTTAAATGGGTAAGTATTTTTGTTAAATTATATTAATATAGTTAATATAAGTTTTTTGTTTCATATTTTTACTATAAATGTTGAATGTATTATTTGTATAAAGACTCTGTCCGATAAAAAATCCTGACAACACAATGAGAAAAGGAGGGATCTGCTTACAATGTTTGTATTTATATAACTTTCGTTAAGTTCAGCTCTGGTAAGTTCAGTGGTGCAATATAACAGTATATAACAATATAACAGTAACTCGTTTGTTAAGGTAAAGATTCTGGATTTGAAGAGGTATCTGATTTTATTGGATTTCGACATCTAATTATATGAAAAAAATTTATGATTTTGGTTTTAAAACTAATAAAACTATATTTTTGAAATTAATCACGAAATTCAAATTTTATTAATAGAACGGTTCCATTACATATTATTTATTATATAATTCGAAGCACTCGATGGGTCCTACTTTGGAAGTCAGAAAATAAGTTTTGCTTGATAAATTATATAAGATTCGCTTTATTTTAAAATTTTCACTGACCGCTTAAAGAAAACGCACCATATTTTTATTTTTTTTTACAGTGTATTTCATGCAAACATGCTATAAGTTTGGGAAAGGGTTTTCTGAGTAAAGAGACGTCCCATAAAAAATGGACGTGTCAAACATAAGTGCACCCAAAAAAAATAAACATCTGAGCAAGTTTTCAATATATTCTATATTATTTAATTTAATTCAATTTTCGATTGAGTTCGATTTCATTTGATTTTATTTGATGCTATTCGCTTCTATTCGGTTTTATTGGATTTAATTCGAATTTATTTTTTTTTTTGCGATTCAGTTGAAAGCAGTTCAATTCTATTCGCTTCTGTTTGGCCTAAATCGTCTCAATTCGATTTCCTTATTTTTTATTATTGTTGGAAGTTTAAGGACTCTATTTATTTATTTTATTTTATTTTTACTAATTTAATAATTAATCTTACATCTAAAAGGTGTTAAGTAAATATGAGAGTTCTAAAATCAAAGTTAGAAATAAAATATATATAAAATCTGTACTAAGGATTGATATGTCTTAATAAATATCGAACCAGCCATTAATACGGACAGACGGTATGTGTGTATGTATGTATGTAACCTTTTTCTTTAGTAAATAGATGAAATACTTATAAAACTAATAATATCGACAAGTATTTCGAGTCGATTCGATATCGACTCCATATTATTCCTTAAATACTGAAATAATAAACGATTTATGGAAAAAAAAGACATGTTTTGGTATTAAAATCCCCAAAGAAAACTTTTAATTTTTAATAAAATTTAATCATCTTAATGTCCTAAAAACAAATCATATGTAAAAAACATATTTTACATCAGTTTTTGACACATTAACAATACATATTACATATTCAATTTCTATTATTTTATTATTATTCTATTATTAATATTTTATTTTTATTATTCTATTATTGTTATTCTATTATTATTAATATAATATTATTATTATTATTCTACTATTATTATTCCGAATATTTTACCAGAGAGGTACGGCATGTAATATTAAACTGTTGACAAAACCGGTAACCTTCTCGAACACGATCACTGTTACCCAATGGAATTAATCTTTTGCAGCGTTTTAAAAAGGATTTACGTCTGTAACTGCTATTATTAATTCAGGGGTAAATTTCAGGGGTAGATTTAGGGGTAAATGCTTTCAGAGTTTTCAGCTATAACTTACTCTATATAGGTTTTTTATGACCTTGATTTAGTAACGCTGTTTTTGTGGCATAGGTAACACAAAACTGTCAACAAAGATATATGTTTTGAAAAACCACTTTCCCATCGAATTTGATGAGACTTATTTCATTTTAAAATTTGAATTAAAAATTGCATCTACAAAAACTGTGGCATGTGATCTAGAGTCTGTCAGAGTCCACACCTACTTTTTTGGAGATGACATATATGTGACTGTCAATTTTGTTTCATTTAGACTAACAACGTCAGTTTTTCTAGTGTCAAGTTAAAAATATGGATGTTGAAGATATATGGCTTCAACAAGATGATTGTCTTGAACCATAAATCAAAAAATATTCTAGTTTTATTCCGTAAGAAATGTATGAATGTGTGATTTTACATATAGAATTTGTGAATTGGTTACCAAGATCAAACGATCTTGGTTTGAACGGTGTTTGTGAGGTTTATGCGAGCAATTCTTCAACTCTGGACACTTTCAAACATTTTGACAAACATCCGTCAGATCAAGCTATTTATCTAAAATTATTCTAAAGGAGTCTAGTCTAGCCACACAAGGTTCAAAATTTTAAAAATTTCAAATGTAAGTACATCTGCTCGTACTTTAATGTAGCTAACTTCTTACTTCTTCTTTAAAATTGGTGTTATATTTCCGAGGCAAGGCATGCCAGTTATAAGATTTGACAAAAATCCAGTAGGCACCTATTGATACTTATCGGAGTATAAATAATAGTGAGTTTTATTTGTAGTACCCTAAAGTGTTACCACGGAAGTCAGAGTCCACAACTCTGCTGACCTGACCAACAGTAATTGATCCCTTTAATGGGAGTATAAATAAATTTGGACTTTTAACACAATCTTAAAGTAGTTTAAGTTTAATTACAGGCAAACTTCCATAACTCGAAGTACCCTTTTGTAAAGAAAAGGTTCGACTTATGAAGACTTCAAGTTAAAGAATATTTTTGCAATTGTATGTAATTTATGAAACAAATAAATTTAAATTGATAAATTAATAAAACTAAATTTAACATTACACCCGTATTTTTATTTTTGTCGAAAATAACTATGAGCATTTGTATTTGTTTCTGCGGCCCTTAAATTTGTATAGTCATTTGTATTGGCCCGCGATTGCATCTGATATGGATAGCCCTGATCTAATTATCACACTTTCCGATTTTAAGGAAAGGCATCGAATTTTGTAAGTATTGTTAACAATTATTATAAGATAATATAATATTAAATTAACAGTATTACAGCCTCTATGAGTTTTTTTTTTTCTTGCTGGTTATTTTTGGTGGCAAATTGAAATTGATTATATTAGTACATTTCCTTTTAAATTTAGGCACAACCAAAGACATTGTAAAACATTGTAAAAATACTAAATTGGCATAGCCGGAAAGAGCCAATTTCGCCGTGTCCGAGACGCTCTACATAACATGGCCCTTAGAGAATATATAAAATTTTATTCATATGGTATTTGATACCCCTGCCATTAAAACAATATTCTATAATTGTCTGAACTACGCTTTATCCTTTTCCATATTAGTGATTCTTTAAAATTTTAATAATTTTTTAATAAAAATAAAAAAGTTTCTCGGGGTAGTCTATTTACAGTGAATACTCGTAATAATCGTCATTTGATAACTTAAATAAATTTACAAAGAATTTTTAAATAAAAACTCAACTCATATAAAGAATACCTTATATGTGTAGTACAAGATTTTATATTTTATTTTTTATTTTTATAGTCATATTTATACTTTTGAGAATTGTTTGCATTCAATTTTTCATTTATTTAACGCAGTTCTCATACTTATAATATCATTTTTATTTTATTTACTTTTTTTTTGCATATACGAGTCTGAATGAGTCTGAAGCTCATTTCATTCCTACAATTTTTCCAAATAGCTCATATACAATTCCATTAGGCTTTATGCAATTTTATTGCTGAAATACATTAGCTCATTTTAAATGTAAACAACATTTGCAAATTTATTGCAACAATCGCTATAAAAATTGATATTATATTATTTTAAGAAATTAAATTGGTCACATTTAAAGGAAACGATCGATCGATATGTATTCAATAAAATACAAGTATCTATGTGCCCATATATTCATCCATCCATTTGTCTATAGATAGGTAAGCAATGTACACATCATATCGTATCGTATGGTATGGTATGTTATATGCATTCAAGAACAGATATCGTACAGATGCTCTTGTGATGTATTTAAGGCAAGCGGCCAGGCCAAATGCCCGTGAATTGAGTTTATAAAAATAATAAAATTTTAAATAAACGGAATAAATGCTGTAAACAAACATTCAATTTATGGAACAAACTTTACAACAACAACCACAACCACAACAACAACAACAAATATAATATCAAGAACAACAACAACAATGTAGGCTCCAATAGTAACACTGACTGTTGCTGCTGTGTAGATGCGAAACTGTAGTTGTACCTGTAGTGTCGTATCCGTGTCTATGGCTGTGACTGTGTCTGTGGCAAAATGCAGGAGGGAGGAGTAGCGCCGTTGCGTCAACAAATAAAACGTAAACAAAATTTGCATATGCAAATTGTCAAACACGTCTTGAAAGAATCGACAAGTAAACAAATATGCGTGAGTGTGTGTGCGTTGCTGCCAAAAGGTCGTCATAAAAATCTTACCATAACACCGCGAAAAGGTGAATTTGTTTTGGTTTTAGCGCTACAGAAGGCATATTAAGTTTCAGTAGTAATTTTATATGCGCCCAAGCGTAGAAATTTTTTCTTCATGTATTAGTAATACACATTTAATTAACGAATTTATATGACTCTCGAATGGCGGGTAAATAAAACTTTGAATTATTAACAAGCCAAATGCTTGTTATAATTTATTACTCAATGAAACATACAAACAAATAGAAGAATGAATTATACTAAAAGCATGTGGTAACACTGCTAACATAATCTAATGATAATATTATTTTCAATAGAAACCATAGTAACAATTGCCAAACATATTGTATATTAATATATATATATATATAAGGATGGCTGTTAATTATTTTATCTGAATAGATTGGTTATATCATTTTCTGGTACCCTTTTTACTATAGTCATTTTCTTTTTGTGGAGCATAGTGCCACTATAACAAATCTTAATCTTACTCTATTGTGAGCATCATGACGAATTTCATGCCAGGAATACTTTACGGCGTTAAACGTACCGTCAATGGGTTTTGCGCCAGGTTTGCGTTGAAGCTACCGTACGTCGAGATCTTAAATATTCACCGCAAGCATTTATTTATAAAGATTTGTATATTTGTATCGATGCTTTTCGAGTCTTACCAGGCCCCCCACCCGTCAGAAAGTATCAATATTACATTAGACTCAAATTGACAAATAAAATATGTTTGATTCTAATTGATATGTGGCTGAATATCCAGATGTTGTTAAGAATGCCAATGAAGGATTTGACACCTTGCCTTACCTCTAGTACCTTAGTGGAAAGGAGCATTGTGTTAGCGTATAATGGTCTTAACATAGGTTTTAACACCAACTGAAACCATTGGCGAAGCTTCAAATGCTAGTCAGAGGTCTTGAAGTTGATCAAGATTTTTAAAGAAGACGGGCACTTA